GAATCATTTGTCTCTATCTCTGACAGTCCAGACATTTTGGTTTTGGACGAGCTATCTTTTATAAGTTTCATAGAGTCTTTTAATGTTTCTGGAGATTTTGGACAAGTGATAAGATGTTGAAGCATTTTGGCAGCATTACTGAATTTGTAGACCTTATTACAAAGCTTGCAAGAAACAGACTTGTTTGGTAAAGTACGGTAGTGCTCCCATATGCGTAAATCTTTAGGTCTCCCCATTGAACCTAAAAAAATGAACGATGATTAGTTGGTCTGACGAAAATTCAACAATAGAGTGCCTATTTTTTTACAATGATTATTTCTTGTTATTTACAATAAATTTATTAAAAAAATAATAAAATAAATACAAAAAACCTTTGTAAAATTACATCTCCTCGGAGGATTAAACGCAGACGCTAGTTTATTATCGTATTGTTCTGTATTTTTCTCAGCAACTTCTTTAATTCGATTAGGTACTTACGCATATTATGTTAAAAATAAATATCTAGTACACATCTTAGGCTATCCACCATTATTATCCAATGACGACTCTCAGCTAACTATGCACTATCATCCAAAATAAACGTGTATGGAAAATTTTATCCCAGTCGGTTGAGGATTGAGGATAATTGCATCAACATACGAACATACCTACATACTTTTATTTACATAACGCAAGCTAAATAAAAGCTTGTAATAATACATCTAATTTTAAGTTAAAATTGTTAAGTGATCATGATATAATTGTATCATTCAAAAATCCACTTACCTTTAATTATTTCTTGTTAAGTATAAATATTATTTCAAATCTGCTCCCTTAATATGCACTTTTTTACTGCTTTTCCTACCTAACACGTTACCAGGAAGTCACGTTACCAGAGTCAGAGTAATAGTGAACACGTTTGACAGTGATTGTCGTCGCCTCATATTCAGCGTCGACGAATAGGGGAATCCCCAGTCATAATGTATTGCATGCGTGGCGGTCTTACTTCAAATCCATAAACAAAGAGATAATTACAGAACTCGATACTAGATGGCGCTGTTTTTGTTTGAAGAAAGTTTGCGGGCTAAAATACATAGAATTTCATCAATGACTTCCACAAAGAACAACATTTCTGTTTTTTCTAAGTCCGTATCTCTTCCGTATATTTCATAAGATATAAGCTTGGGCTACATTGTTATGCAACGTGATTTTGTCGCTGTCTTGCTAGCAGGGTTGACAGATATACGATTTAAATCGTACTCATACTATTATTTGTCTATTTTTTAATGTACGATCGTAAAGATTATGATCGTAATTCGCACAAAAACATACGACTTTTTGGTTACCTGGCAACATTTTTATTATGAAACGAACATGCTCACATCATCAGTCACATGCAACAATTTATTGGGGATTTCCCCTTCACATCTGGCAGTCCTGCTTGCTAGAATATAGGTAAGTCAGCCACAGTTACTGACGATCGATATTTAAAGGGTATTGTTTTTGTGCTAAATATTTCATAAAAACGTTATTTAATACTTTGTGGATTATTAATTTAGTTGATAATCACTGGAAGTAAAATGGATGCTAATTTGAGAGATCAAGATCTTCGTATAAAACAGTTAATAAAAGAAAATCTACGTAAGTACTCTTTTTATACCTAGGTAGGTAAGGTATAATAAACACAAAAGGTACTTAGATCGCGTGTGTTCGAAGCATTTATTCTAATAAATTTAATTTAAAATTGTAGAAAGAAAAAAATGTCTGCCAAGCCGTAGCCGAAGCCGATCTCCAAATATATTTGGCGATAGTGAGACCCAGTGTCCAGATGATTTACCCAGCGTCGTCGCAACAAAGAAAAAAAACGAGGATAAAGTAAAAGAAAATTTACTGAAAGAAGAAACAAACTGTTCTAAATGCTTAATTTATGGAGAAGAGGATAAAAGAAATGAGTATTTCGGACTGTTAGTGGCTCAAGAATTTAAATATATACGGCCATGTGTGCGAACGAGGTGTTATGAAGAAATTTTAAAGTATCTACGGGAAGCAAAAGGCCAACATGTTGATCAACTGCAACATGAAAACACTGAAAATTAATTACTTTCATTTTATTATATATAGATTTTTAAAATTTCCTGAAATATTATTAGTTAACGTTTTATTTAATATTGTAGAATTGATCAATACAATTTATAAAAATAATTTATTGGTATTACTTACATATTTTCAAAAAAATACGTAAAAACCTATTTTTTTGGGTGATTATGGGAGTTTATGGGTGTTTATTGGGTTTTTACCAAAGCACCGGGTTTAAACCCGGTGCTTTGCCCATCTGTAGGTATGAGTGGACTGTATTAATGGCGTGCCTATTTTCTCGCAAAACGATTGTGTTATAAAACATCGCTGACTACCGTTATCCAGTAGCGCCCGTGCGCTGTGATAGTTATTACGTTTGTCACAAACTTCAATCATAGCAGTAGACAATAATACTGAGTCACTATTCGATGTCGATAAGGGCACATGCGATTTGCCATCTAATGTGAATAGTGCTAAAGCGCTCTTTTGTTCGTGTAAAATAGAATTATGTTTTTTCGAGCAATGTTTACAACAACCACTCCGGCAGTCATTGACGGAATGTCCGGAGCGTAAGCAGTTCTCGCATAGTTTATTTTGTGTAATTAATTTATATTTATCGGCAATTGATAAATCTAAAAATAATTGACACGAATATAATGAATGTTTAGAATGACACATGGGGCAAGGTTTACGGTGTACAGGTGTATATTGTTGATATTTATTCGTGGACATGGAAGAAACGTTACAGTGTACCCTCTGCGATGAGTTATGAGTTGGTTTTTTATTAATATTGTGCGTTAAATTATGATTTGTACTTAATAACGTTTCTAACATGTCTGCTCGACGCGAAATAAAATCAAGTAGACTATCAACTTTCAACTGACCTTCAGATGCACTGGTGTTAAGTGAGAATAGGAGTGTTTTGTGTTGCTCCCATTCACGTTCAGTATTCGAATCGAACTTGGAGACCACTATAAAAATAATTAGTGTGTCCCAGTGTTCTGTTGGTTCGCCGAGAATTTTTAATGCGCGGATATTTTTTAGGACGGTGTCAACGAGCTTTCTTAATAATACTGGTGATTCTTTTGTTAGTGGCTGAATTGAAAATAGTGCCTTGATATGATTGTGAATTAACAATCTGCTATTATCATATCTATTAATTAGTAACTCCCATGCGACGGAATAATTAGATGCTGAAAATTCAAGTGAATCTATAACTAATTCAGCACTACCCTTCAATGACGATTTTAAATAATGAAATTTTTGAATAGGGGTTATTTATTTAGAGTTATGTATTAGTGATAGGTAAATGTCTCTGAATTCTAACCAATTCTCATAGGATCCATCGTAACTGGGTAGGGAGATGGTCGGTAGTTTGACCATATTAAGAGGTCCCTGATGAGATTGTTCAGAGATTTTATCGTCAGATAGCACACTGTCAGCCCTAGCAATCACACTATAATAACTGGTTTCGAATTCCTCTCTACACTCTAATTGTTCATCGATATCATCAGAATGTTCCTCAATTTTAGACTGAACTTCGTTAAAGTCGGTTAAAAGAGAAGAAGCACCTTGTATGCGTAACTTAAATTCAGCCTTTTTAAATAATGCCTGTTGGGAACATACTGATTCTACATATTTTTGTAATTTAGTAAGTCTACCTTTTATCACGCCCCTTTTGCGTATATAAACATTTATTTCACTACTAGTCTTACTGGGGGAGCTAGTAGGGGACTTAATGGGAATAGATAGGTTAGTCTTATCCATAACTGTGGTTTGTGGAAAGAATGTGGGTACTTACGATTTGCGAATCCGATGCGTTGTTTATTCTGACCGTTACCGAATGCGGTCAGCGTGATGCTATGAATGTTAATACACGGCACTAGAAGTATAGAAAACACGGTATTAACACAAACGAAGGGGAAGGTTGTGGGATATCTTGGCTGGTACGTCTACCGAACTGCGCTTTATTGATGTTCGTGTCCAGCTTGCGTCTTCTATCCAACAATATTCCTTGACTGGTCGTTGCTCTGGTTTCTGAAGATCCAGGAACGAAGTCCAAGGTATGTTCTGGTTTCTGAAGGTCCAGGAACGGGGGTCCACGTATGCTCTGGTTTCTGAAGGTCCAGGAACTGGGGTCCACCGTATGCTCTGGCTTCTGAAGATCCCGGAACAAAGGTCCAAAATATGCTCTGGTTTCTGAAGATCCCGGAACGAAGGTCCAAAAATTCTGGTTTCTGAAGATCCCGGAACGAAGGTCCAAAAATTATGTTAATGATGTGCGCTTGCGTTTGATGATGAACAGATGATGATGATGATGATGAATAAATACACCTAGTATTTGCAGCGATTTAACTAGGGTAAATAAAATAGATAATAATTTGAAGCGTTGATGTAATATAAATTTGATGTTATACGTTGAAGTTTTGTTTTGCGAGTCCGTTACAATTTTGAAAACCTGAAAGGTCATGTAAATTTCTCCTGCGCTATGATTGGCGTTCTCGCGATGCCGTGATGAGCGGCTCTTGTTACTGGTTGATGTTGTGTGTGATTATCTATTTTTAACTTAGCAGTCGTCCATTGGTTTTACCGCTGAAACCGCTTCATTATACGCAGGAGTGAATAATATTATTTGCATATTGTTAATGCTTTAACACAGGTTTTTCTGCTTGAAAAATCCCGTCTTTCAATAATAATAACACATTACTATTCTGTTTACACCGAAGGATGGGTAGTAGCGCCCCTCTTAAAATATCTGTAAAAACCTACCTGCGGTTGCCAACCCGCCTGCCAAGCGTGCCAACTACTGGCAAAACACCCCTTATGGGGAAGGCTTATGTTCAGCAGTGGACAGTTTGACGGCTAAAATAATAATATAGTAATTATTCCGTTTGATTCAAAGTAAAAACAAATTATATTTTTAATTACAAATAATTTAATTACAGTACGCTGAAGCTAAACTATTCAACGAGAAAGATGAACCAACCAAAGAGCATCTAGAGTTGCTTTTATGGGCATATTCGCCGGAAGCGGCGCGCGTGAAAAAAGTCGTGCCAGAGACAAAAGAAGAAAAGCAAGATGGCGGCGATAGAAAGCGGCGCGCTAGTGACAGAGATAGCGAGTCGCCGAGTAAAAAGAAAAAGGAGTGATGCGGTAACCTGTTGTGCATTTGTGTATTATCAATAAAATATAATTTTGGGATGACATCTTTGTTTTTTATTTATCGTTTTTACTCTAAGAACAAGGAATTACATAGAAGGAATGATAAAATAAAAACTGTAAATCATACGGTTGCCTCCTTTCTTCTTATGCAAATATAATTAGTAAAAAGAGGACGAAAGATACACCATCAGTTGCTATTCTTGTCAATTCATAGCATAGGATAATGTATAGAAAATGTTTGATATGTCAATTATTTGTCAATGACAAATGTTACATTGCTAGATTATATATTGGACACAGTTTATGTAGAAAGTACGCGAGCAGGTTGTATCTGTATTTGGTGGGGTTATGAAATGCCCGCTATGAAATGAGACAAATAGACACAAACAATTACAAGATAATATTACACTGAGAAAACAATGGGCGGCCTTATCGCTGAGAGCGATCTCTTGCAGGCAACCTTTGGATGGAGAGGAGTAATTATAAACAGTTTGACTGGAGGCACGAAGTAAGTAAATATATTGTAAATAAACATTGTTTTATATAAAATTGGTGCATTTCGATTTAAAAGGCAGGATATGGCAGTGAATTTACAGGGTACAGAGGAATAACACCTGAGTCCTCAGGAATGGCAACGCATGGGAGGTGTCGAGGGCGAAACAGTATACTCTGTTATGTCCATGATACTGTTCATGTCTATAGGCGACGGTTACCACTTTCCATCAGGTGGGACGTCAGCTTGTTTGTCATTGTAAATTGTATAAAAACAAATTTGCACATATCTATTAGTAGGCAATTATGTATGAACAGAGCGACTGAATAGTGTACGAACACTGTTACAACAATAATTCAATATTATGACAACAGATGGCGCCACAAGTTGAAAATAAACATATATTTTAAAAATACATTTTGTTGCTAGCAACACACTGAAGTACGGGTGAACACTGGGGGAATTTTGACGAGGTCCGGTGATATACACCTTTTATTTTAATGGATGATAATGTAATGGTAACCCCGCCTGCGCTAACGGTATACACCGGCGAGACACCAGTGAGGGATGATGAGTGAAAATGAAAGAGCAAGTCACTTAGCCCATCGTGATGAATACACCTGGAATTCAGCACGATGGTTTCCAGGGGGATCACGTGAAGGGCGACCTGACAGGGTATATTACTAGCAATGGGACTGGTAGTCCGCATTACTAACAATCTCTTCCCCCCACAGCCTCATTGCTAGCAATGTACCCTATCAGGTCGACCTCCACGTGGTTCCCTCTGGAAACCATCGTGAACAGTTTTTGATGAATTCGTCACGATAGGTCAACTGACTTGTTACATCCTCATCTATCATCCTTCACTGGTGTCCCGGCCGTGTATACCGTTAGCACAGGCGGAATTACTATTTATTGATTATTCATTAAAAAATCTAATATATTTTCCAAGGAGCGTTTCCATTATAACAGTCTCTTCTTTTCATCTTTATTCGTTTCTATTTCTTTGATTTAATGTATTAAAAAATATACTTACCATCATATTATATAAGAATATATTTCAAACAGTTCTTCAATGGGGTAATATGACAAAATTTTGTAATCTACAAAAATCCATTACATGTAATATCTCCCAGTTTTCGAGGAAAGTTTCTAAATTGGAAACAAATTTTTTGAGATCATCGATTTGACATTTTGACATAACAGTGTTCCAGTAACATACTTCTTTTGGTAATATTTCTACGTACTGATAAAAAATTTGTTTGATAATATAATAAATATATAAAATTTGACATCTATGTCAAAATCATGGAAACGACGTATAAATGAAACAATATCGTAACTTTGTAAACACTTAGTACAATGAACTCTCTTATTTCCTCACAAATATAAATAAAAATTTATAAATGATCAATTAAAATAGACTCTTCAAGTGTTCTTTGTACCTGTGTAACCATTTATATGTAATATAAACTTGTACATCAATAAATATTTACATATTTTTAAGTGGGCGTAGGATACCGCATTTTCACATTTGATTCTAATAAAAGTATATAAATTGTGTGTTTTGTTGTGGTAATTACTAAAAATTAGTGATGTTTAAATATCCTCTAATGTGTACATATATCAAGATTTCATTGTAACATATTTTAAAGTAAGTATACTTTTTAATTATTTTTTTTTTAATATCAGTTCAAGTACAAGTAAATAAACTGTACTTCTTATAAATATTAAACAAGCTTATTATTATTTTTTGTTGAATTTAGTCATTTAATAATTAAACGGATACTAAATTAATAATATTCAATAATAATATAGTCAATTGAAACAAAAATCTTTTTTAATTTGTTTATTTTATGCAATATTATTTTATTTAAAATGTTGCAAGCCTGCAACGTAAAGTACAGAAAAAATATGGGGTTTATTTGAGTGTTGTCCTATACTTATTTTATTTTAGTAAAATTTTACCAGAGGGAGATTTTGTACAAAAGTCATTTGCTTGGGCACCTCTGTCCTATTCGTGTTTTTACAATTGTGTTTTCGTGGCTGTGTTTCGGTTTGAAGGGTAGACAAATGGCAGTGAATTTACAGAGTACAGAGAAATAACACCCGAGTCCTCAGCAATAGCAACGCATGGGGGGTATCATGGGCGAAACAGTATACTCTGTTATGTCCACGGTACTGCTCATGTCTATAGGCGACGGTTACCACTTTCCATCAGGTGGGCTGTCAGCTTGTTTACCATTCTAAGTTACATAAAAAAAAGCCATTGGCTCAGTCATTGTATAACAAAATTTAATATCATCATTGAATCTAACTTTACATAAGTTAAGGGAATGGGAATTTATTTATTTATTTCTTTGATGCACAGAACTTTATCAATAAAATATTCTTTATATCGGTCTCAGCTCAAGTGGCTTAACTACTTAAGGAGTATTTGGGCCATCAGCTTGTTTGCCATTCTAAGTTGTATAAAAAAAATTCCAGTATCTTTTTGAAACTCACGAATGTAACCTTCTTTCCAATAATACTCTCCAATTATCTTTCCCCTCTCACCGTACTGGTTACGCTTCAAACTCTTTTCTCCTACATTCTACTACTACTAATGAATAAATAAACAAATAAAAAATTAATAATATCAGTACAGATTTACATTATTAGGCATGAGGATACTATGTGTGTACACGGCGGACTAAATGCTAGAAGCATTCTCTCCCAGTCAACCGTAGGGAAGTGTCAGAATACACGAATGCGGCACTACTAATTATTGATATACATACATACTAAAATTACATATATAAACGAATAGATATAAATATATAAATAACAATATATTGACTTCATTAACAAAATATTGTTCTTCCAGATGATGGCAGACATGTAACACTATGCAGACCCAGAGACGGAGCATGGAGGCGAGCAGCGAGGCCAGCTACTGTTAGTGTACATTATTATAATCACTATTTGTTTAGTTATTTAACACTTTACTGCACCAATATTACATCATCAATCATCAATATTATACCATCAGGTGGGCTGTATGCTTGTTTGCCACCTCAGTGGTATACAAAAAAAAAAGGACTTGTTGAAGAATTTTCAATTTTTTTTTTACAACACAGGGGGCAAACGAGCATGCGGCTCACCTGATGGTAAGTGACTACCGCCGCCCATGATCACCCGCAACACCTACAGCAAATACAGTTATACCCTGCTTCACGCGACCCCTTTATGTGTGGTTTCTCTATAATGCAAATTTTAAATTTCGCGTTCAAATGCCTCGTATTACGCGATGGAATGTGTACATATGTTTAATCATATCTCGATATACGTGAATTTCTGTTAACGCGACTTTTTTTTATACCACTGAGGTGGCAAACAAGCATACGGCCCACCTGATGGTAAGTGGTTACCGTAGCCTATGAACGCCTGCAAAACCAGAGGTATTACGCGCGCGTTGCCGACCCTGAAGAAATCTCTTTACCCCCCTTTTGAAGAACCCCATGCTGTAGTCTCTTGGGAAAACCTCGGCAGGGAACTCATTCCATAACCTGAGTGTTTGTGGGAGAAAACATCTCTGAAACTTTTTCCGGAACATACCCCTCGCGTAAAGCAGGGTATTTCTGTAAGTATAGTATAGTACAAAAGACGGTCTTATTGCTGAACAATCTCTTACAGACAACCTAGTTTAGTTGGGGGGAAAGGAGTTTGTATGAAAGGAAAAAGCTTGTAGCTTGTAGACTAAATACAGTTTAACATTTGCATACCTCTACTGGGTGCTGCATGCTATGTACCTACTTGTATATGTAACATCTTATTGTACCATGTAGCAAGCGAATAAATATAATTTGATATGATTTGCTTTCTCTTTTTTCTACTGAACAACAACATAGGGTTTTTTTTTATGGATGAAAATGGTATGGTTACCCCGCCTGTCCTGTCGGTATACGCTAGCGAGATACCAGTGAAGGGTGATAGATGAGAATGAAAACAGGCCAGTTAGCCCATCATGATGAATTCATCAGGAATTAACCATGATAGTTTCCAGGGGGTACCACGAGGAGGTCAACCTGGTTGGGTATATTGCTAATAATGTGATTCTCAGTCTCCATTACTAACAATCCCTTTCCCCCCTTTCTTGAAGGTTATGAGGTTGACCTTACGAGGCATATTAATAGCAACGGGGCTGATAGTCTGCATTACTAACAATCCCTTCCCCCCCCCCCCCGCGTGTGTTACGTCCTCTTATAAATTTAGCAAATAATAAAATAATTAGAAATTTGTATTGATGATTAATGTATGTGTGTGTGTATGTGTGGTGTACAGGTGAGAGGGAGACTTGGGAGGACTGGGGCAGTCACTCCTCGCTCAGCCAAGTGGACGAGGTAAGTATTTATGTTTTATTTTATTTTATTTTTATTTGGTCTCCTAGCAATTTTTTTTTTACAACGGGGCAAACGAGCATGCGGCTGATGGTAAGTGACTACCGCCGCCCATGGTCACCCGCAACACTAACGGCATTGCAGGTGTACTGCCGGCCTTTTAAAAGGGGATATGCTCTTTTCTTGAAAGTTATGTTGTCGTATTGGTTTGGAAATACTGCTGCTGGAAATTGATTCCAAAGAGTGGTTGTGCGTGGGAGAAAGTGCCTTGAAAAACGCACGGTGGAGGACCGCCACTCGTCCAGATGGTTGGGATGGAACTTTAGTTTATGGCGGGTTGTACGGTGGTGAAAATCAGCAGCAGGTATCAGTCCGAACAATTCCTCAGAGCACTCCCCATGATAAATTCGGTAGAAGATGCACAGAGATGCAACATCTCTGCGCAGTTTCCGTTATTGTTACACTGGTAAGATTTAATAATAAAATTACCGCCTATTTATACTTAGTGTACAAGCATTTTAAAGGGAACACAGTGTGTTAATTAACAAACAAACAATAATATGGTACAACAATCTCTTGAGGTATTTGACGTTGGTATAGTTTTTTAAATGTTATTTGTTATATACAACTTAGAATGGCAAACAAGCTGACGGCCCACCTGATGGAAAGTGGTTCCGCCCATGATACCCTCCATGCGTTGCCATTCCTGAGGACTCAGGTGTTATTCCTTTGTACCCAGTAAATTCACGCCATATCCCACCCTTCAAACTGAAACACAGCCATGCAAACACAGCTGCTTCACGGTTGAAACACGAATGCGACAGAGGTACCCAAGCAATCGACTTTTGTACAAAGTCTCCCTCTGGTTTTTTAAATTCTATAGATGATTGCTTCACATAAGTTTTAGCTATTCAAATTAACTGCAATGCTTTTTCTATAGAAATCTAGTAGTTCACTAGATACTACAAAACTTTTTTAAATTTAATCTTTTCACTATTATAAAGAGGATAGATTTGTATTTTTTGTATGTTTGTTTGTTTGTAATTGATAAACTTAAGGAGTACTCAACCTTTTTTTTAGGGGGGAAAGGGATTGTTAGTAATGGAGACTCAGAATCCCATTGCTAGTGTTATATACTGGCCACCAGTCGCTAGTTCGAATTTTTATATATGTGAAATATCTATTGACATGTGTCACAATTATTCTATTCTAATAAAATAACTTATGTAGATATACGTATTTTATAAATTGGCGACGATGTCAACTATCGATACAAAAAAATTGAAGAAAACACGAGCCTCGCTACGGGGTTTACTCACAAAACTAGAAAATTATATCACGACTAACGAAACAATCCCTCAAGAAGAAATTCAGTCAAGACTTCAATCACTTCAAGAAACATTACGAAAATTACAAGAAATTCAACACGAAATAGAAACAGAATCACCAGAGGAACAACTTAATGAAGAAATAGAAACAAGGTACGACTTTGAAGAGAAATGTACAATTTTAAAGACCAAACTTTTGATACTACAAAACAGAAATCACGAACCCACCGCAGCACTACAGCTATCCCCATCACCTTCGAGCACCAATTCACGTCAAGACAGAAATCCCAAAATGAACTTTCAACCATTTCAAGAAAAGGAAACCTTTAAAAATTTTACGAAAAGATTAACAGTATATTTCTTATTAAACAACATTGAAGACCCTAAAATTAAAGTATATATATTACTATCGGCGTTATCTCCTGAACTTCATGAAAAGTTACACGACCTATGCTCTCCTGAGGATCCAATTAATATGAACTTTATAGAACTTACTCGTACACTAGATGACCACATAGATCCAAAACCGAGTGTATGGGCATTACAACATAAATTTATTACACGGGTACAAAAAGAGGATGAAACAGTAGCAATGTACGCCTCCGAATTAAAGAAATTGTCCAACAACTGTGAATTCAAATGTCAAAACTGCCATAAACCAACCTTAGAAAGCTTCATATCACTGCAATTTATCCGAGGATTGAAGGACAGTGATATAAGAATAAGAATCCTACAAGACCGAGAAACTCCACCTTTTACGAGATTGGTACAAATAGCTACATCCATGGAAATGGGAAAATCGGAAAACATACGAATGTCTACAGACATCCACAGATATTCTGACAGCCTCAATAGAATTACAAATATAACAAGTAAAAGTAATTATGCTAATACATCACCATCTCAAATACAAAATCGAAGACTACCAATAACAATAAAAGAATTGAAAGGAAAATGCTACCGATGTGGAAAAAATGACCACCAGTCTAAAGAATGTGGTGCTCTAAAATCCATTTGCATGAAGTGCAACAAAACGGGTCATCTAGCGCGTGTTTGTTTACAAAGAAACCTAAATATGAATAAATTAGATGATACGACAAGTAATACGAGTGATGACAACACGGGGGATATTAATCTCATGAAAAGTGAAATATCAGAAAAATACATGATCCCAATAAAAATTGAGAACATACCAATCAATATGGAATTTGACACTGGAGCAACATTGTCATCAATATCCCTGAAACAATTCAAGAAATTGAATATCAGAAACCGAATATTCAAAACTGATATGAGATTAAGAACATACACTGGAGAAATTATTAAACCCTCAGGAGTTACTTACGTCAAATATGCATATAAAGATCAGACCTTTAATGGAAAATTATATATAATCAACCAAGACGTTGACGCAATTTTTGGCAGAAGCTGGATGAAAGAACTTACAATAAAATTATCAGATATCAATATAATACGAAATTCAGAACCATCTACGAATCTTGATCAATTATTAGAAGAATATACGAACACTGTATTTAGGACCGACTTAGGAAAAATACCAAATTACCAAGCTCATCTGAATCTCAAGGATAATATACAACCTATATTTATTAAACCTCGTCGTATACCGTATGCTTTAAAGGAAAAAGTTGATGTAGAGATAGAGCGACTATGTTCAGAAGGAATCTTAACTAAAGTGGACCATGCGGAATGGGGAACTCCAATCGTACCGATCATAAAACCTAACGGCACTATCCGTTTATGCGCAGACTATAAGGTAACCCTTAACAAATGTATCAAGGATGAACAATACCCAATCCCCATAATTGAAGACATATTCGCAGAAATGAATGGAGGGAAATACTTCTGTACCTTAGATATCAAACAAGCCTACCTAAATTTAGAAATGGATGAAGAAAGCGCCCTTCTACAAACGTTAAGCACACACAAGGGAACTTATAAAGTAAATCGATTGATGTTCGGTGTTAAGGTAGCACCTAGCCTATGGCAAAAATTTATGGATCAATTACTTCAGGGACTAGATGGAGTCAAATGCTTTTTTGATGACATTATTATTCAAGGAACCTCAGAAGATCAACTCCTATCACGACTGAGACAAGTTCTTCAGAAACTCAAAGAGAGTAACCTGCGCGTCAATAGAGAAAAATGCAACTTTTTTAAGCGAAGTATTAATTACCTAGGACATATAATAGATGAAGATGGACTACATAAAAATAAAGACAAAGTGAAGGCCATTATGAAAACAGAGAGACCAAAAAACGTAAATGAATTAAGAACCTTTCTTGGTATGGCGAATTATTACAATAAATTTATACCCAACTTAGCCTCAATAACAAATCCCCTAAATGAATTACTAAAGAAAGAAAAGGAATTTCAATGGTCCTCCAAATGTGAGACAAGCTTTAATAAAATTAAACAGGAGATATTGAGTGAAAGAGTACTCATTCATTTCGATCCCAAAAAACCATTGATAATAGCCACGGATGCTTCTCCAACAGGATTAGGAGTTGTTTTATCTCATAAACTAAAGGATGGATCTGAAAGGCCAATCGCATTTGCTTCTCGATCACTTTCAACTAGCGAAAAGAAATATAGTCAAATCGATAAAGAAGCTACAGCCATCTTTTGGGGTATAAAAAAATTTTTTCACTACTGCTACGGTCGGAAGTTCACACTGATAACTGACCATAAGCCTCTTACCTCAATCTTTCACCCACACCACACACTTCCAGCCCTAAGCACAATGAGACTGTTCCATTACGCACATTTTCTATCAGGATTTGATTACGATGTAGAATACAGACCGGCATCAAAACATTCAAATGCTGATTATTTATCAAGATTTCCAGTGGAATATGTAAAAGAAAATTCTAGAGATCAACACTGCACATTCCAACAACAACAAATTAATACGCTTGATGTCCGACCAGAACTTATAGCTAGAGAAACAAAAATAGATGAAGAACTTAAAATATTATTGGAAGCACTAAAAACAGGTCACTCAGTACGACAACATGGCTATAACGATAACGAACTTACACTTCAAGACAATTGCATTTTGAAAGGAACCCGAGTTGTAATACCGCACAGCCTACGTAGCCGTGTTCTTGACGAACTACACGAAGGACATGTTGGTATTCTTAAAATGAAATTATTAGCACGCAGTTACATATATTGAAAACAAGGTAAAATCTTGCAGAGCATGTCGATTACAACAGAATGAACCCCCAAAAGCGCCACTACACCATTGGGAGCAACCTACAGAACCCTGGCAACGACTGCATATCGACTTTGCCGGACCTGTACAGGGTTACCAACTTTTAGTTGTCATAGATGCCTTCACAAAGTGGGTTGAAATCTATCCTACTAAGATTACTACAAGTTCGTGGTGTATTACTAAACTGAAAGAACTGTTCACTATATTTGGAATACCACATACATTAGTATCAGATAATGGACGACAGTTTATATCTCAAGAATTCGACTGTTACCTTTCCAACTGTGGTATAAAACACTCAAAATCAGCTCCCTACCATCCAGCGACTAATGGCCAAGCGGAGCGCTATATACAAACAATAAAAAGGGCGCTACGTGCAATGGAGGGGGAGAGGGGTGACATTAATGATAAACTTCTGACCATTAAGACACGACTCAGACGTACCCCGACCTCCAATGGTCGAACACCATATCAGCTTCTGTTCAATCGAGACATTAGAACCAAGCTCCATGTCATGTTCCGTACCACACCACCACTAGCGGTAGCTGAATTGAACAACAGGCCTCCTGTCAAACAAATGTATATAACAGGTGACCGGGTCCAGGCTAGAAGCTACTCTGTACGCGGGCCAAAATGGGAATTTGGCAATATAGTAAATAGACTGGGACGATTGCACTACGAAGTACAGACCGACCAGGGAGCTGTGTGGCGTAGGCACGTGGAGCAGTTGTTACCGGCTCCAGGAGTCCAGCAGTGCAGAATAGCGGCGGAGGACTGTTATATACTGGCCACCAGTCGCTAGTTCGAATTTTTATATATGTGAAATATCTATTGACATGTGTCACAATTATTCTATTCTAATAAAATAACTTATGTAGATATACGTATTTTATAGCTAGCAATATACCCAACCAAGTTGACCTCCTCGCGGTTCCCCCTTGAAACTATCATTGTTTATTCCTGATGAATTCATCATGATTGGCTAACTGGCCTGTTTTCATTCTTATCTATCACCGTTCACTGGTGCTCCGCCAGCGTATCCCGTTAGCGCAGACGGGGTTACCATACCATTTTCACCCATCAAAAAAAATATATATAAAAAACGGCCATGCCGCTCTCAAAAAAAAAAAAACATTCTTGGTCACGTATGTATAAGTAATTAACTTCTGAACTAATGGAAAAGTTTAACCACGAATCCATTCCGCACTGTGGTAATCAACACACTCAATTTATTTTTATAGATATTTTTTATTTATATTCTATTCTTGTCTTTGGCTGAACGGCGCTTCCTTTGCCCTTTTTTTTTATTTTTGTTTCATTCTGAACAGCGCTGCCACTGTCACGGAGTGTACAATGTTCGAATTTAGAACGCGCAGTGACGTGTCCGTAAATAGAGATTTTGTTCGCAAACAAGCAGTTTTTGCTCCGCAAAGAAAAACGGTAACTCCGACCACCACAGAACTGTAAACAATACATCTAATATATAAAATTCTCGTGTCGCGGTGTTCGTTACCAAACTCCTCCGAAACGGCTTTACCGATTTTTATGAAATTTTGTGTGCACATTGGGTAGGTCTGAGAATCGGCCGACATCTATTTTCAACTACTTCACGGTAGAAACACGAATGGGACAGAGGTACCCAAGCAATCGACTTTTGTACAAAGTTACAAATAGTTATTAGTGATTCTTTTTTAACAATAGACCTAATAGGGCATATAACAATATGCCCTATTAGGCCGACCTCCACGCGGTTCCCCCTTGAAACCATCGTGTACAATTCTTGTTGAATTCGTCACGATGGGCTAACTGACCTGCTTCATCCTCACCTATGATCCTTCACTGGTGCCCCGCCGGTGTATACCGATAGCGCGGGTGGGGTTACCATGCCATTATCACCCATTAAAAAAAACTGAGCTGTCGCCGAGTGCGAAGTAAGGAGTCGCCTGTAAATACGTGACCTCCAGAGTTTAATCAACGTAATTACGGGTTCGGATCCTGTGACGGGCGCGAAAATAGATTAGGCCTCTGGGTCGGGTCAGCGTGTTAATGTCGCTGTGCCCTCCTCCCCCTCCACTCACGTGCGACCCGGCACGCGAACTGGGACATACGCACAGACCGCTTCGACACTACATATGTTTTAGACCTGGAGTTCCTAAACTCTTAAGAAACGCCCACCAAGTTCGTTGAAATAGATAGATAGATAGATACTCTTTATTGTTTCCTCCAAAAGATTACAATAGTAAACTTATTATAAACTAGCGGCCCGTCCCGGCTTCGCACGGGTGGTCATTTTTATAACATTTTAAAAAGTGGTCATTGTGACATAACGATAATAGTTGGACATATAGTGTCGCGGAGTTTTTTGTAGTTATCGATATTTCCTTCAATATTGTAGAACATACTTTTGTTCTATCACCAATAGTTTCCGCAGCGCACGCGACCAAAGATATTTTATAGCGTTTCTTTTACACCTCGAGTTACGTTACTAAAGTTTTAGTAAGGATCCCTAATGTTTTCTAGCAATAAATATAGCCTATGTCACTCAGGGTGAATGTAGCTTTCTAATGGTGAGAGAATTTTTGAAATCGGCAAAGTAGTTTATGAGTTAATTCATTACAAACATACATACACAGTAAAATACAAATCTTTCCTCTTTATAATATTATAGTGCATAATATAGTGGAGGAACACTGATAATTTTAGAGGTTTCTAATGTGATGTGATGTGAACCCGTGCGAAGCCGGGGCGGGTCGCTAGTTATGTATAATATAAGTAAGCAACACCTCAATCTCTCACTACCTTCAAAACCTCTGTTAAGTCCTACTATCTCTTCCTTTAAATACTATTTTCGCGTGTTCTCTCTTCATCTTCCACTTTCATTCTTTCCTGTTGTGTATGTCCTATTAGGTACCAGAGGGAGACTGTACAAAAGTCGATTGCTTGGGTACCTCTGTCCCATTCGTGTTTCAACCGTGAAACAGTTGTGTTTGCATGGCTGTGTTTCGGTTTGAAGGGTGGGATATGGCGTGAGTTTACAGGGTACAGAGGAATAACACCTGAGTCCTCAGGAATGGCAACGCATAGGGGGGTATCATGGGCGAAACAGTGTACTCTGTTATGTCCACGGTACTGCTCATGTCTATAGGCGACGGTTACCGCTTATATATATTGCCAAGTGGTCCTAGCATAGAATAGACCACTGCTTCCTTTCCCGCGGGTGTCGTAAAAGGCGACTAAGGACGAGGTATGGGCAGCAGATCGACCTGATATTGCTAGCTATGGGGTTTTTAGATCCCCAATGCTAACAATCCCATTCCTTCCCATTTTTTGAGATTATCTATTACAAACAAATATATAACAAAATCTTTCCTCTAATATACTGGCCAGGCGGCTTGGCATAGTGGTATTTTATTTCAAGTTTTCCCCGTACTGTACTTGCATATCGCCAATGCTCGGTAAGTCCATTCGATTTCCTTCTAAACAGCTTGTATTTTTTACGCGAATATCGACTCTAATGCATAAGGAATACGGTGCTTCCGATCAGTACGTAGTTGGCTGGTCCCTTCACCTTGCGTACATAAATGGACTGTCAACCTACATTTTTATATATTTATTTCGTTGGTTAATATTTCATTGCACGTGCGTGGGCAGCCCTATAGGTTTAGTACTACGATTATATGGGTACATAATAAGTCACTTATTTCTCGCGTCTAAATTTGTATTGTGAAATCAGTTCACAAAGCGACTGGTAACGCCCTCTTCTGGGCGTAACAGGACTTTTTATTTTGATGGGTGAAAATGGTATGGTAACCCCGCCTGCGTTAACGGGATACGCTGGCGGAGCACCAGTGAAGGGTGATAGATTGAAAATGAAAACAGGCCAGTTAGCCCATCATGATGAATTTATCAGAAATTAACCATGATAGTTTCCAGGGAGAACCGCGAGGAGGTCGACCTGGTTGGGTATATTGCTAGCAATGGAATTCTCAGTCTCCATTACTAACAATCCCTTTCCCCCCCTAACAGGACTAGTTGTAATGTAATTAATTTGTTATCTATTTTTTATTCTTTATTGTACACAAAAATATTGTTAAGAACAATTAATTTTAAACATAATATACAAAGGCGAGCTTATCTGTAATAAGAGATTTCTTCCAGCAAACCTTTTCATGTGAATTGAATGATATTTAAAAATAAAAATAGACAGTCATACAATTTGTGTACATTATATAAACATATTCGTAATATATGCATACACAAAGAATAATACCAACTACACATAAAAAATACACGAAATACATAAACCCTGTAAATATATAAATATTGAATTATTTATCTATGTTTTAAAAGTTAAATTATTTATTTATTTATTGTTACTTTATTGCACAATAAAACTTTGTACAAGTGGCGAGCTTAATGCCATATAGCATTCTCTACCAGCTAACCATTAGGTAAAAATAAAAAGCGTATGAACTACTTACTTTATAATATTATCTCATTTAAAATGTAAATTTTAATATATTAACAAGAGAAGACTCAAATGTTGCTCGGTATAATTGAAATAATGGTTGCTATTGGGTATGATTTTAGAATGGAATCAAACCTTCAACCTTAGTTACCACTTATTTGTCCCTTATCAGTATAAGCAATAAGTATAGATTAGATGAAAACATCATAATATACTTACATATATTTAAACAGTGAAAAAAATATGAGTTCGAGTGAGAATCGAGATCATGGTTCCGCTATCCAGTTCGCACGATGTTACAGTGTTGCCATAAATTTCTTACTTACATTATTTAGTGCAATCTCTTAATTTTCAGAAAAACATTTTAATATACTTTTATTTATCAATTATTTATCGAGAAAATAAACACTAAAATTCAACAACGTGAAACATTATTAAAAAAACATGAATATTTTATTATTAAATCACTGTTAAGTAGTGACTGTTATTTTTTTTATTTTTAAAGTTATTTGTATATGTTTTTTGTTTAAAATAATCAAACTCAAAACCTAGAATAACGTTTAAAATTTACCTTATATAATAATGGCAGCAATACCGTCGCGTTTGAAACAGCAAATGAATTATGTGTTATTTATTTTTGTCTACAAACCCAAAACTTTTATTGAATGCTTAGGTTTGTAGCATTCAGTATGTTCTTAGCGTTTATTTCAAATCGGTAAGCGCATATTATAATATTCGTAGGCACTTGTTATTAATTTTTAAAACATTACAAAATTCTATTTTCAATTTTATTACTCCATGACAGGCAATAAATAGATAAAAGGAACATATGAGCTTAAATTTTTTTGTTGTGTATATTCAGCAAGGGTGCTTAATATGATATTTGTAATTTCCTCAAATCCCATATTGTTATACATTACCCCAACGTAAATTATTTTTAGTGGAAATTCAAATTTTAGATCTAGCAACCCAGCGAAAATGCGCCATTCCGTGACGCGATACGTCGCGTATCGGCAGTGCTTCGTGTCGCGTTATCAAATACCAAAACAAATACAAGAACGCCAAATACATCTATAAATAAATATTAATTCAGGTTAAAAATACTTAAATCAATAGATTTAGAGTTGTAAATGCAGTGTGCAATTTATTAATTTGGTGTTAGTGTGAAACAAGTGGAATAAATTAGCCAGTTTTCGTTTGCAACTTTGAAAATTACGAAGCGATGCAACGGTATTGGTGACCT